GAATAGTGGGAGTGACCGTCACATTATAACGCCCCCATGGCTGAAAGGGCGAGCATGTTTGGTGGGATTGAGATTCGAACCCGCCACCCGCAGATTGTGAGTCGAGCTCCTTAACCACCTGGTCATACCGGGCCTAGCTCTTGTGTTGTCGTGCTCGTGTTTTGGAAACAACAGAAGCCGAGTTGATTCTCAGTTAGATGACGTGATTGATGTATTTCGCACATTTATATTTTTGTAATTTTCATTTTTACAAGGGACACGTTTTGAAATGGTTAAACATGTTTTGGTTGTATTTGAGTACTAGATCAAACAAACAGATGATAAATTGGAACTCAGTTTAGATTGTTATCACAGACCAAGGCCTTAAAATATTGAAAATGATGACGTTCAAGTCCTTCGTTGTTGTTTTCAACAAGGGATAAAACATTATTTCTTCTGCCAAGGTCGAAAGGTTTGAGTACAAAAATTATTTTTTCCATTAATGTTTTTAATCGTTTTTGAGCCTTTATGTATTATTACTCAACATCTCAGGTTTTGAAAAAATTGTTTGTTTGTTGCTAAGCCAATGTTGCATAATGGTGAAGTGTCCATCGCAGGGATCGAACCCAGGATTTAACGTTATAAGTTATTAAGTTCCGAGTGAGCCAACTGATTTTAGAAATCGTGCACGCCACTTGCACGTGCACCAGCACTTAATTGACGATAATTGATCATTTTCAATGTCTTTCCTTTTTTTTGTACTGTTTTCTGCTAAGTGTAAGTAACTATGAATTATTTTTTGTAATAGCTTTTCAACTTCCGCTTTGTCTACATCAGCGGGAATGGAACTTTATTACCTTGTTGTAATGAAACGATAACATTTCAACTTACTTCCGCTTTGTCTACATCAGCGGGAATGGAACTTTATTACCTTGTTGTAATGAAACAATAACGTTTCAACTTATTTTTGCTTTGTCTACATCAGCGGGAATGGAACTTTATTACCTTATTGTAATGAAACAATAACATTTCAACTTACTTCCGCTTTGTCTACATCAGTGGGAATGG